TCTCTCTGTGTGTGTGTGTGTGTGTTTGAGGTAGGATCTCGTTCTGTCACCCAGGTTGGAGTGCAGTGGTGCCATCACAGCTCACTGCAACCTTGACCTCCTGGGCTCAAGCCATGTTCCCACCTCAGCCTCTTGAGTAGCTGGGAGTACAGGTGCATGCTACCATGCTTGGCTGATTTTTATATTTTTTGTAGAGATGGAGTTTTGCCATGTTGTCAAGGCTAGTGTTGAAATCCTGAGCTCAAGTGGTCTGCCTGCCTTGGCGTCCCACAGTGCTGGGATTATAGTCATGAGCCACCATGCCTGGCGTCTTTTTGTGATTTTTATTATTTTGTGTCTTATGTCTTTTTTTTTGGTGACAGTTAGTAGACTTTCCTGTCCTCAGGTCTGAGAATGACAGAAGATGGCATTTCCTTATTCTGTTTGGTTGATGAGCTTCTAAAAAGTGCTTTTGTGTGTGTGTCTTCATTGCACATTCTGTGGCACATCACTGTGTTAAATGCAGACTTACAAAATGAGTTAATGAAAGTTAAGTGGCTAGACAGGTGTCAAAGAAATAACTGTGTATTTTTATAAAAATAACTTTTATTATTACTGTTTTTCAGGTGAGGCTGCTGTCTGTCAGAAAGGAACTTTTATACAGTTTGCCTTCAGAGACAGTCTATCTGCATGTTGTAGAGTTTTATTATTAAGAAAATAAATGTTACTTATATGGTAAGTTGCCTTTACTTATGCATATTTTATAGAAATACTGTCTGTTTACTCTAAAGATTTGTTTGCTTGTATTTTGTTTCTTCAGTGTCATTTTATTTTGTAACTGTCATGTCAAACAAGTTTGAAAATGGCAGTTTCCTGAAAGGTGTAGGGTCTTTTGAAGATTTTCTTCTGTTTACTATCTATCTTAATTTTGTTGTTTGTAGTAGAGAGGAGAACAAGGGCTGTTTAAATATTGGGATTAGTTTTCAAAGTTGGATCACTAGCTTTGGTCTGTCTCTTTCCACTGTAACAGCTGAGAATTAACATCCTTCTTGTCAAGCCCTGGCTTCACTATAATTCATATAGTGAGCAGCAAAGATGCAGTGTTATTTTAAGGGTTTGATTAACTGATTCAGGAAGAATAGGTGGTCATTTAAATAGTAAAGTATAAAACAGAATGAATAATGTTACTAAATAACTTAGAAATGAAAAAAGATAACTGATTTTAATTTTTAAATATTACCCTATAGGTATTTGTTATCAGTTAAAAAATTTTTTTTTCAAGGAAAATTTAGTAAGTTGATATGACCTGCTGTTTTGTGAGAGGTTTTCTTACTCACATCCTCTGATGATCTTTTGAGTATATTCCAACTTCTGACTCTCCTGTATGGCCAGTGACAATGGGCCAGCCGATGCGTAGGGTGATAGCTTTAGTGGTAACCAGAGGGTTGGTCACAGCAACTGTCAGAAGATAAATATACTCATGTGCTGCTGACGCACGTTGCAAAAATTGGATGGAAAGTATGACATGATACTGGTGATTTGCCGAATTTTCTCTCAAATAGTTTTGTGCAGCTAAACACAGTGAGAAATACATGTTGATGTTGAGAGCTGAGTTCAAACAAAGTAGTCTCAAATAGAATCCAGGGATGAGGAGCTATAGGCACTGAAAAAAGAGAGGAACAATATTATCCTTAGATTTGTTTTTTCTTAGTCTTTTTGCTTTTGTTAGCGTCAGAAAACTGTCTTAGGTATTCTGGATGTTTTGCATGGCTCATGTGAGTAGAAACATAGGATTTCATTGTACATGACTGAAAAGGCCTGCATCTCAGAGCAAATCAAAGTGAGTTTTAATCTTGGTTATTTGAAATCTCCTTGTACCTGTCTTATTAGGAGTATTATTTTTTTTTTTTAAGAAGGAACTAATTTGCAGCTGGCTATAAAGAGTGACATTGTGTCTGGGAAAATGCTGTACTAACACACTGTGCTGTCCCACAAGAGTACTTCTCAAGTCCCCAAACGCTGTGCTGACAATCTGTGACAGCCTGTGAATTGTTGGGCAGCAGTTGGGGAAGATGGACAGCAGGGTGAGGTGGTTGTGTGTAAGTTAGAGGAGGTGGGGAGGGGAAGAAGTGAGAGAAGAGCAGAGCAGCTTCTAAGTTTTGTGGGCAATTTGAATGGAAGGTGTTTTAGTTGTTGTGTTCTGCTAATACAGCTGTGAAATAAACAGCTAGAGGGTGGGGTGGAAATAGTGTATTTCACCTTTCCTTTCAAGGTATTATTGATTCTGTCATCAAAACTGTAAGGTTGCCTGGGCATGGCAGCTCACCCCCGTAATCCCAGCACTTTGGGAGGCCCAGGTGGGCAGATCACTTGAGTTCAGGAGTTCGAGACCAGCCTGGCCAGCACAGGGAAACCCCATCTCTACTATAAATATAAAAAATTAGCTGGGCATGGTGGTGTACGCCTGTAATCCCAGCTATTCTGGAGGCTGAGGCGTGAGAATTGTTTGAGCCAGGCAGGCGGAAGTTGCAGTGAGCTGAGATTGCGCCAGTGCACTTCCAGCCTGGGCGACCGAATGAGACTCTGTCTCAAAAAATCAAATAACAAAAAACCCTGTAAGGTTCTGTGTTGTATTGATGAGAGTGTGGGTTGGATGGAATTAAAACTTTTGAGGAGACTAGAAATATCACATCATACCAGGAAATGAAACTATAAAGGTAAGGGTAATGGGGATAGGGCTTATCTTTTCCAGGAATTATTATAGTAGTAGTAAGGCCAGTTACCATATCTAGATCCACAATGGCTAGGCCTTTATCTCAGACAGATGTACAGCTTGTTATTTATTTATTTATTTGATTGATTTGATACATATACTATCAGCTGTTACTGTTTCTATAGCAAGCATTGTCAGACATCAAAGACAGAAATTTCTGGATATTATTTGGATTGTGGAGTAGAATTTAATGTGGGCAAGTTATGGTTCAGTTCTTTCTTTCAGTATGAGAGTAGTTATACAAAGTAAATAGCTTTGCTACAATGAACCTTTGGCTGTAGCCAGACTAATATTGGGGACTGAATGTTTGTGTTCCCCCTAAACTCATATGTTGAAATCTAGTCCCCAGTGTCATGGTGTTGGAGATGGGGCCTTCAGGGTGTAATTTAGTCATGAAGGTGGAGCCCTCATGAGTGAGATGACTTCCCTTATAGGAAGAAGTCAGGGACCAGGTGCTGTGGCTCACGCCTGTAATCCCAGCACTTTGGGAGGCCAAGGCAGGTGGCTCACCTGAGGTCAGGAGTTCGAAACCAGCCTGACCAGCATGGTGAAACCCCATCTCTATTACATACAAAAAATTAGCCGGCATGGTGGCACATGCCTGTAATCCCAGCTGCTTCAGAAGCTGAGGCAGGAGAATCACTTAAACCTGGAGGTAGAGCTAAGATTGCACCATTGCATTCCAGTCTGGGCAACAACAGCGAAAACTCTGTCTCAAAAAACAAACAAACAAGCAAACCAAGAAGAAGCCAGGGAGCTAGCTTGCTCTGTTTCTGCTATATGAGAATACAATGGGAAATCAACCTACTACAACCTGGAAGAGGGCCTGCTCCGGAACCAGGCCACGCTGGCACCCTGATCTTGAACTTCTAGCTATTAGAATTGTGAAAAATTTTTGTTGTTTTTAAGCCACCCGGTCTATGGTACTTTGTTATAGCAGCCTGAACTAAGACAACCAGTTTCTATGAGTCTCCAAAATAACACTTTCCGACTTTTTGCCTCTTCACATGTTGAGTGTGTTCTTTCCACTTGTAATGTCTCCCCTCAGTTCTGTGTCTGAATATCTGCTTCTAAAGGCCTAGCCTCAGTTCCACCCACTTTATGACATTTTCCTCACCCATTCCAAGCCCTTAGTGATATTTTTCTCCTCTGGTTTCTATCATTTACTTTTATTTGGCAGTTAGAGACATATAGTCCCTTAAAACAACATGAAAACAATCTTTCCAATTAGGTAGAGAGACGTCTTAAGGGGAAGCTTCATTTTTACTCTCTTGGCTCACTGCAACCTCTGCCTCCTGGGTTCAAGCGATTCTCCTGCCTCAGCCTCCCGAGTAGCTGGGACTACAGGTGCGTGCCACCATGCCCGGCTAATTTTTTGTATTTTTAGTAGAGATGGGGTTTCACCGTGTTAGCCAGGATGGTCTCAATCTCCTGACCTCCTGATCTGCCCACCTCAGCCTCCCAAAGTGCTGGGATTACAGGCGTGAGCCACCGTGCCTGGCCCGTACTTTATAATTTCTACTACCCCAACAGTGATGTCAATACGATATGTGCACTTAATAAATATTTGATGGTAAAAAAAAAAATGCCATTGCCTATTGTTAGCTTTTACCCATCTTTAACAATTATCTTTCTCTTTGTATCATAAGAATACTAGATAAGAATTGAGTTTAAATACCTGAGCCATGTTCGTTCAGGAGATGATTCTTCTTTGAAAGCCTTCTGTAGCCCTGTGTACAGGCGTTCTGTTCCTTAAAGTAACATTGCTTTGACGATGTTACTGTATTATAATTATCTGTTATTCTTGAAACTCTAATTTATAAACTTTGAAACTGCATAGAAGAGAAACTTAAATTTATTAACTTGCTAATGCTTTCTTTGTCTGAAAGTTGCTTTTGGTTTCTCAGTTTCTCACCAGGCACATTTCACACTTGCTGGTATAGCTCTAAGGAGGGAGGTGATAGATACGGAGCTGTAGCTATGTCTCTAGCAGACAGACTCTACCTCATTTATAATTATTCATTTTTGTCGTTATTGTGATTTGGTATTTTAAAAATTAAACTATTCTGTGCTATGCATTTTTACAAACATACATACAAAGTAAAGAGCTTTGCTACAATGAACCTTTGGTTGTAGCCAGACTAGAATTCTGTGCTGTGCATTTTTACCCCAACATAATTTTTAGAAGGTATATGTTTTAGTCTAGTGCAGTAGTTAGGTGCAGGGACTTTGAAATCCAATCCAGGGACTTTGAAATCCAATCCAGGGACTTTGAAGTCCTGTCCAACACTTGGAAACTGTGTGATCTTAAGTAACTTAAGTTTCAGATTTCTCATCTGTAAAGTTGGGATAATAATGCTACCTCTTAGTATTGTAGTTGGGATCAAATGAGATAATATATATGACACTTAGCTGAGATTGAGTCTGGTGGCCTCTACTTTCAAAATTTACCCAGTGGTTTATTAGCTTTACTCTGTGAATCTTAAAGAGGAAAAAAAAAATCAAGTTTAATGCATGTCAAGGTTGAGGTAAAGCCCCCAAAGCCTTATCCATTTGAGCTCCTTTATTGTCAACTATAGGATGTCAGTTAAACCCAGAATAGACCCAGGAGAGGAACTAATTTCAAATAACTGTAGAAACAGACCAACCTCCAGATGTGTAATGAGGGAAAGAAGTTTTAAGAGGGAGTTTTTTTTCTTTTCTCCCTGCCCCCTACCACCAGTTACATATGCAGAGTAGGAAGCAAACTTTTCTCTCTACCTTTCTATTACATATCATATTGCTGTTCAGTATATTAAAGCTTTTTATCTGACTGCCTTTTGAGGTGGTCAATAATAGGTGCTAACATTAAACTTGGAGCAGTTAAATTGGTGAGTTGTGGGGTTACCTTGTCAGTGGAGTGTGAAAAAGACTAAGCTGCGGACTGTTTCCCAGCCTATAAAGCGTGAAATGAGTTGGTGCTGATGCATGGCGACTATAGCCAATGGAGTATAAAATACGCTGGGGGCATGAATTGTGTTATGTTGTGAGAAAGACCTTTTTGTGCCAGTTTATTTATGTATTTTGGGACCTCCAAGATCCTACTGAAATCATGTATCTTGTATCTTTTGTTGTCTTGATACTCAGTGTTTTCATGAAATGTTTCTTCCAGTTGTGCAAGCTGTATGTTTTGTCCAGCTGCAGGCAGAGAGGCAGAGGCAATAAATACAAATGTCCAAGGCAGACTAATATTAAAATACTGTATTATATTCTGTTTAAGATTGCATCTGAAAATACCATCTGCAGTTGGTATTTGATATACAGGTTTCTTCTGTTTTAGACTCAAGATTTGAAAGTATACTCTGCCTTCTACTTTGAGCTTCTGCTAGTGTGAGAACTGTGTTACCAGTTTCACTGGTTGGTGGTCCCATGTTGAAATGTGCCTCTGGAGAAGGGACATAGAGAAGGACAGCATTTTCAAATGCTTGGAGGAGTTGGTAGGAATAAATATAGAGATTATTCTTATGGGGAATAGAAGAGAGGGTGTTCCTCTCCTGACACCTGGTGAGGTTCTTTACCATATGGCTTTGAGGGTGAGGCAAGGTGAATGAGGAAGTTTCAGAGACAATAGTGAATTATTGTCAGCCTTTTTAAGTCTGGAAGGTTATTGGAAATAGGCATACTGTGAAAGCATTAAAGGTCTTTCATTCTTATCTTACTTGGTTTTCTCTTTTTACGGCAGCAGTCTTTGAACTCTTTTTGGTTGCTTTGCAGTTACATGGATTCTAAGCAAATTGTGAATATTTATGAAACTAATGCATCATTGTGAGACCATTCTGCTGAGTATCAGGCAGTCTAGTATAGTAGTTAAGTGCAGAGACTTTGAAATCCCAACCAACACTTAGAAGTTGTGTGATCTTTAGTTATTTAAGCTTCAGATTTCTCATATATAAAATTGAGTTAATCATAGCTATCTCATACTACTATAGTTGGAACCAAATGAGATAATGAATATGCAATGTTTACCACAGTCCCTGTCACATAGTAAGCACTTAGTAAATGGTAGCTGATTATTATTCTTTCTCTTCCTCTGCTACTACTAATGGCACTACTCTACCACTACTTCACTTTTGCTTGTAGGGCCTAAACTGTAATGAAACAGAAAACACAATTAGACATGGTTCGTTGCAGCAGATTTGGAAAAATATGTCATTGTTCTCTTGGGCATGGCTTAATAGTTGTTTCTTAACTAAGTAGAAACTATAAAAAGACTTTTTATTTAAAATGAAAGATAAGAATCTTTGTCTTGGTTTAAGATAGCTTTGCAAATGAGTCTAAAAAACTGTTTTTTCTAAAATGTATTTGCTTAATGCAAATAAATCAGCCTTTATATGAGCTTTGGGAATATATAAAACAGTTCAAAGAATTGTCATTCCTTATTACTCACCTAACATAACCTTACTTGTTTTTTTTTTTTTTTCCCCCAGAGTGAGTGCCTTTTTGGGGAATTGTTTGAAGTTTTTTTCTTGTGCCAAGATAGTCACGGTAGAAGTCTTGTCCAGTGTATGAGGCACATTTTTGAGGGAATGGGATGGAAAAATCACCCCAATCATTTATCCTTGCTGGTAATGAGCATTAGTGTGGATAATATATTTGGATTTGATGTGCATTATGTGATTATTTTTTCAGCACAATTAACTTCCTATATCCTGAGCATATACTTGGTGGAAAACTGATAATACAACTATAATAGTGGTAAAACTGCTAGTTTAGTTGATAGACAATCTGGGTTCTAGTCTTAGTTACTACCACTCAAATAGTCTTAGATAAATCCCTCAACCAGATGGTTTTCAAAGGCTCTTTTCAGCTATAAGCTTTTTGTTCGTTTGTTTTGAGACTGGGTCTTGCTCCGTCACCCAGGCTGGAATATAGTGACACAATCATAGTTCACTGCGCCCTCAAATTCATGGGCTCAAGCAGTCTGCCTGCCTCAGGCTTCCAAGTAGTGAGGGTTACAGATATGCGCTACCATTCTCAGCTAATTTTCTATCTTATTTTAATTTTTTAGAGACAGTCTTGCTGTGTCACCCAGGCTGGTCTTGAACTCCTGACCTCAGGCAGTACTCCCACCTCGGCTTCCCAGAGTGCTGGGATTGCCTGCGTGAGCCACTGTGCCTGGCTTCAGCTGTAAGATTTGAAGATGGATATGGAGGTAGCTTAGAAACTGGGAAATGTAGTAGTGACACATTTTGGCCACCAGAGGGTGAAGTCCAGTCATTGAACTTGTGCTCTGTATTTGACCAGAATGTGGCGTTCTTGGAAATGAAGAGGACACATTGCTCCTCTGTTCATTTATGTTAAGTCATAGAGCCTCTTGTTGTCTGATTCTACTTGCATTTATTATCTTTCTGCTTTTTTCTTCTCAAAACTTTGTGGGTAGGACTGGGGCAGATATTAAAGAAAGGAGAAGAAAGGAATAGACATATCTAATTGTCAAGTAGTCATCCAGTTTTGTTCTATAAAATAATGAATGGCTTTCAGATGACCTATGGGCAGCCTCGATGGGAAGCACAATAGTATAGGTCACCACACTTAATTGTTTGTGGCCATCTTCCTTCCCCAAAACACATAGGCACGCACACAACACTTAACCCTCGTTGCCTTCACTCTTTCTGAAATTCCAAGGGTGAAAACAGAATGTCTGAGAAATATAGCAGAATGAGTACAGCCCTTATAATTGTAACTAAGGTTCCAGTCTTGCATTGCCACTTAATATCTATGTAACCACGGACATTACAATTTTGAATTCCAGTATCTTTATCTGAAAAACTAGGATGTTGAATTCTGACCTATACAGTCCCTTTCAGTAAGTCTAATTCTAAGGCTCTGTAAAAATTCTTTAAAGTTTATTTGAAGGGCAGTGCTATTCTTAATACAACACTTTAATAAAGTAGTATCTTCAACAATAGCATGTTCTTTTTTGATAGAAACAGAGCTGTAGATGTTGTTAAGACTTAAAGTATTAAGTAAACTACCATAACACCAAGTAGAAAGACAGTTACTACTCCACCGTGGCATTTTTTTAGCCCCATAAACAAATACAAACTAATTTTCTGTGAATGTAGGCTCAGGATGGCAGTGGTTCATTCAAGAGGGGCCAAGACTAGGGGGAGCCAGGCCAAGCTGTTCGGGTATAGTTAATAGTGAGACATTTTGAGAAGTCGTCATTTGGGGATAAGTAAGCTTAGCAAAAGAGGGCATATAGGTTCTGGGAACCTATGTCATGAAGCTGGAGTCAGAATCTATTTCTTCCAGCCACACCAGTGGAAATAACTTTGACACAATATTCAATTATACAAGTCCAAGTTGCTGTCTGAGAGCTCAGGATGATAAGATGGAAGGAACAAGGAAAGGCATGGTAGTCTAAATACCCAGACAAGCTGAGATGAGTGTCTAGAATGTGACAAAGCAAATGGACTCAGAAGTGTGCTCGTGAAAGCAGGCAAGGATTAGTACTTACTACGATATGTACACAAGAGAGTAGAAGCCAGTCAAGCTGATTGGGTAGAAACAACATTTTAGGATTATGTTCAAAAGATAATTTTAATCTGTCCTGGTTTTAATCACTATCCTTGGTGTTGGTAGAGAAGGTCTATTTGGTATGTCTAAGGCTCTACACATGTTTGAGGCTAGTGATTATATCATTGACAAACTCTAGGTTGTTTGATGGTTCTAATAGCTTTATACTCCACGGGATATACACATATTCACAGATCTGTTCACTACTGCTGCAGAGTTCATTTCACAGAAATGAACTGGCTAGTAAAAAATTTGGCAGACAAACTAGCTTTTCGGGAAGCTGCTAGGAATGGAGCCCAGCTGTTCCCTTTGGGCTTGAGCTGTTGGAATTCATTGGGTTAGCAGCTAGAAAGAACGAAACTGTAACATTTTTAGTTTGGTTCATGACAGCAAAGCTGAGGTGTTAGGATTTCTGTTCTAGAGGTTTACACTTGCAAGTAACTTAACTTGATTGTGTGTCTTAATATTACTGGGCTTCTGACCGCTGAAATATGACTTGGATCGATGGTGGTTTGGAGAAGGTAGAAAGAGGGCTATCCATCATCCAGAGGCTCCATAGAAGCTGGCTGATAATGCTGCTTTCACCAGGCAGCCATCTGTCCATCCATCCATCAGTAGGATGAAATGAGATTTAGCGGAACAGGCAGCCGTAACTCTGAGCTACTTTCTAACCAACAATTGCAGCCCTGGCCTGAGTCTGACCACAGAGCACAGCACTGGGGTTTGGCGGGATGTGGCAGCAAGTGCAGCCTCCTTCCCGTCACTGCCAGCCTAGAATGTATTCAGTATGAGGCTGTAGCCCAAGCTTACTTCCCATACACAATTTGACTAAACTTGGGATGACAAGTAGACAGAAATAGTCTTTCAGCTCCAGACTATTTTACAGGTTGAGCAGAACCTTTTGGTGGGGAATATTTTTGCTTAACACTTGGGGTACTTCTAGTAATTCTGTCATTGTGGTATTTAGGGATGAGGTAAAGGTAATTTACTGATTTCATTTTATATGAATTCTTGTTTTTCTTCGTAAATACAAATTTTTACCTAGATTGTTAGGTTGCAAAAATGGAATTTTCATTCTCTCATTTCTCTCTACTCTCTTTGGTGGTGCTAATATGAAAGGCAAGAAAACGTAGATGAGGAAATGGGTAAAAAATTCGAAGCAAGAAACTGATGATCCCTAAAATGGACAATTAGGCTCTGAATAATTGGTTGTGTACCATGTCTTCCCTGGTTCTTTTGCAGGAACATTGAGCCTTCCGAGAGAGCTTCTTAGTATAGCTCTGTACTCATGTTGCCTGTCCTGGTACCATCCCTAGTCATGGCCAGCTTCCTTGACTGCTTTCTCTCACTGGTCACTTTAGACCTCAGCTCCTGCTCTTTGTTCTGAAACCTTGCTTTTCACTTCAGATTGGGGGAAGGGTAGAGGGAGCCTAATGTACCGGAGATGCTTCGGAAATGAGAGCCTTGGATGAATTCCTGGGCCTATTGATCCACCGGCAGTTTATGCATCCTGACATTCATAATCTCAGTAGGCTGCTGATGTTCCTGATTAATGGGCCCAGGGGCTGTCCATCCGTCACTTCACATTAATTACTGTAGAGGTGTTTTTCCAGTGATTTACCTGACAGCGGGCTGTGATAAATACCCCGATGCAGAGTGGGCAGTGATTAATCACAGGGCCACACCCCTCCCCCTACTCTTTTTTCCCCCTAACCACAGGTTAGCATTGGGACCTGACCAAAGAGTGCCCCCTCCTCATAAGCTGTCTGTCTCCATAATTGCTTGTGGATGCGTATTTATTGGGGCATGGGGCCTGGCAGATAGCATTCTAGAACTTGTGCCAAAGATGATGAAAAATAAATCTTCCCAATAGGAAGAGTAACTAACATGTTTTTACATGGGGCAGAGAAGTGTCTGTGAGCTGCCTGTATGTTGCTTTTTAAGAAATCTAATAGGAATATTGCCTACCTACTATGCATGCACTCAATACTGCAATGGTTGCTTTTTGAGCTTTAAAAAAGAGGAGATAGAACAACTTTTGTGTTTGCTATACTTGTAGTATATTCAGGGAGAATATGTGAACAAATATGAGAAATTAGAGAACATTTCAAAGTACTAATATAATATTGGGAGAATTGGACTATAACTTCAGGATTCCATTTCTTACTTTGTGGCCTTAGAAAGTGAAATTTAGTTAACTATTTAATTAATGTTTTTCATGTGTCAGACACTGTATTCAACTCTGGAGATATGAAGATGAATGTGATACAGCTGAGATCTCAGGGAACAAAGTGTAGTGCCCCTTGCCTCAGTTTCTCAAAGTACAAAATAAACTTCCAGGAAGTTATCAAGTTAATTTTAAATTAGTATAAGATCTAAAGTAATTTAAAATCAGTTCTTACATTAATTTTTCTGTGAATATTTATTGTATTCCCAGGGATAAAAGAAGCGTATGAAAGATACTGTCTGCCCTCAAGAAACTTATAGAGTGTGAGATAGCATTCATAAATGAAACAGTTGAATAAGAATATAAAGTAGTATATAATGAGAGTGATATAATGACAATGAGGTATCTCAGTTTAAACCCAACTCATTTAGGAGGGCATTACACATTATCAAGGAGGGCATTCAGAAGTTGGAAGGAGCAGACAATGAGGCCATCCTGCCTAGAATGGAGACTTTGTGTCTGAGAATGATAGCTACATTCTTGAAATAGTAGATTGACACCAAATCATGGAAAATCTTGAATGCAAGGTAAGCTTAGTTTTTATTTGTATGCTTTGGTGGTGAATCTAAGGTTTTGAGTGAGAAAGTTTGGAAAAAAATGTATTTTAGAAAAAATTCTTACATATTGATGTTCCTAATGTTATTTGGAATTGCCAAATTACCTCGGCATTCTTGGAGCCCTCTTTTCCTCTATAGTTCAAAATAAAACCGTTCAAATTAAAAATATAGTTTTGTATATGTGCCTGATTGCAGTGCAAAGGATTTTGTAGTTTGGTTGTATATGGAGGAGATGATAGAGTTGACAGTCAAAGGAGACCAAGGTTCTCATTGTTAACACGTGCAAAGTTGAGTCAGTCAATTAAGTTTTAAGTAATGACTGCAGCATTAAATTGGGAAAGACTATAGCCTCAAGATTTAAGAAAGAAACCATCAGTCTTACAGATAACTTCATTAAGGCTATACTGATTATTCACTGGCTACTAGATAGGCATATTTTAAAGCCAAGAGTCAGAAATTAAAGGGTCAGTGCTGTCAGCTATATTTTGGCAGGAATTTTAAAGAGGTGTCATTTTTTTCATTAAAAAACTTAAGATTATGTATGGCAAACTTCACCTTTCGTGGAGTACATTTTGTGAATTTTGACAAACATACAGTTGTGTAACTCCCACACAATTAAAATGCAGAGAGAGCAGTTCCATCAATCCAAAAAATTCCCTTGTCACTTTATAGTCAGCCCCTTACCTGATCCCAAGCTTCTGGCAACCAGTGGTATGTTTGCTGTCTCTACAGTTTTGTATTTTCCAGGATGTTGTATAATTGGAATTGTATTTCTCTAATGATAAATGATTTTTAACATCTTTTTTGCCATCCTTATATCTTCTTTGGTGAAGTATTCTTAAATTATTTTGTTGTTTTTTTGACACTGAGTTTTGAGATTCTGGATGAAAGTTCCTTATCAGATGTGATTTGCAAATTTTCTCGCAGTTTGTGGCTTTTTACAACCCTCTTACATGTCTTTGAAGAGCAGAAGTTTGAATTTCGATGAAGTCGAGTTTATTGATTTAACACTCATAGGTGGGAATTGAACAATGAGATCACTTGGACACAGGAAGGGGAACATCACACACCGGGGCCTATTGTGGGGTCAGGGGAGTGGGGGGGGTAGCATTAGGAGATATACCTAATGTAAAGGACGAGTTAATGGGTGCAGCACACCAACATGGCACATGTATACATATGTAACAAACCCGCACATTGTGCACATGTACCCTAGAACATAAAGTATAATAAAAAAAATTATTTTATGGATCATGCTTTTGATGTTATGTCTAAGAAACCTTTGCTAAACCAAAAATCCCAAAGATTTGGTTCTATATTTATGTATAGCAGTGTTAAAATTGTAGGTTTACATTTAGATCTGTGATTCATTTTGTTAGTTTTTATATGTGGTGTGAGGTATAGATACAGTTTTTGTTGTTGGAAATGAATTTCTACTTGTTTTGGCGCCATTTTTTGGAAGGACTCTCTTTTTCATAGAATTTCCTTTATACATGTCTTGAAAATCAGTTGTTCATCTATGTGCGAGTCTTTTTCTGGACTCTTACTCCGTTTCATTCATCTATATATTTATCCTTTCTCCACTATGACACCTGATTATTGTAGCTTTATAGTGAACTTGAAATCTATCTTTGTTCCTTTTCAAAGTTACTTTGGTGATTCCATTTCCTGTGCCTCTTCATATCCATTTTAGAATTAGCTTCTTAATTTCTGTAGAAAGTCCTTCTGGATTCTGATTTAATTCTAAAGATCATTTTGGGGAGAACTGACATCTTAAATATTGAGGCATCTCATTTATTATCTTTCTTTAGATTTTTGATGTCTTATCAATGTATTTTAGTTTTCAGGGTAGATTGTACACATACTCTGTTAGTTTTATGCCTAAGCATTTCATGTTTTTGAGTGCTAATGTAAATGATACTCTTCAATTTTCAGTTTTTTTTATTGATAGAATATAGAACTGCTTGTATCCTTATGACCTTGCTAAACTTACTTAGTTCTGGTAGCTTTCTTATAGATTCTATGGGATTTCTATGCAGAAGATTATGTCACCTGCAGATAAAGACAGTATTACTTCTTTCTTCCAATCTGGATGTCTTTTATATTTTTTTCTGCCTTGCTGCACTGGCTGAAACCTCCATTTTAATGTCAAATAGAAGTGGCAAGTGTGGTCATCTTTACTTCGTTTTTGCATCTTATGGGGAAAGAATTTGGTTCTTCAAGTATAATATAAGCTATAGGTTTTTATTGCTCTGCTTTTTTTTGTAGATAACATTTATTAGGATGAGGAAGTTCTATTCCTAGTTTACGGGATGGATGTTGATTTTTGTCAAATATTTTATGTACATCTATTGAAATAATCATGTATTTTATTTTTTTAGTCTTTTATGGTGAATTATATTTTGCCTGAACTTTTTAAAATTAATTAATTAGTTTATCTATTATACTCTGCCTCTTAAGTTCTGGGTACATGTGCACAATGTGTAGTTGTTTACATATGTATATAGTGCCATGTTGATTTGCTGCATCATTAACTCGTCTTTTACATTAGGTATTTGTCTAATGCTATGCCCTCCCCCACCCGAGACGCCGACCACCGATGACAGGCCCCAGTGTGTGATGTTCCCTGCCCTGTGTCGCAGTGTTGCTCATTGTTCAATTCCACTAGACGGTGAGAACATGAGTTGTTTGGTTTTCTATCTTTGTGTTAGTTTGCTCAGATGCATGGGTTTCCAGCTTTCATCCATGTCCCTACAAAGGCATGAACTCATCCTTTCTTTTTGGCTTGCAGTGGTTGTCCAGTGTAATATATGTGCCACATTTTTCTTATCCCAGTCTGTCATTGGTGGACAATTTGGAGGTCGTTCCAAGTTTTGTTACCGTGAGTAGTGCACAGTAAAATACGTGGTGCCATGGTCCGCGTCTTTATGTACCATGATGTTTAGTATGATCCTTGCGGTATGATACCCAGATAATGGGATCACTTGGGTCAGAATGGTTATTTCTAGTTCTAGATTCCTTGACGGAATTGCCACCACTGTCTTCCACAGTGGTTGACTAGTTTACTTGCCATCAGCACCGTGTAAAAGTGTTCCTGTTTCTCCACATCCTCTCCAGCACGGTTGCTTCCTGACTTTGTTAATGATCCGCCGGGTAAGTTTGGTGATGGAGATGGTACTCTCCATATGTGCTTTTTTATTAGCATTCTGTATGACCAGTGTGAATGGAGCATTTTTTCAATGTGGCTCTTGTTGGCTCGCGATAAATAGCCTTATTTTGAGAGAGTGCTCTGTTCATATCCTTTGCCCACTTTTTGATACGGGTTTGTTTGATTTTTTCTTGCAGATTTAAGTCTTTGTAGATCTGATATCCCTTGCCGTCAGATGGGTAGATTGCGAAAAATGTTATCTCCCGTTCTGTGGGTTGCTTGTTCACTCTGGATGGTAAGTTTCTGTTTGCCTGTGCAGAAGTCTTAAGTTTAATTAGATTCCATTTGTTGCTATTTTCGGCTTCTTGTTGCCATTGCTTTTGGTGTTTTAGTCAGAGAAGTCTTGCCCATGCATATGTCCGAATGGTATGCCTAGTTTCTTCTAGGGTTTTTACGGTTTAGGTCTAACATTTAAGTCTCTTCATACCATTTGAATTAGTTTTTTGTATAAGAGTGTAAACGGAAAGGATTCAGGTTTCAGGGGCCTTTCTACATATAGGCTAGCCCAGATTCTTCGCAGCACCATTTATTAAATAGGGAATCCTTTCCCCATTTTTTGTTTCTCGTCAGGTTTGTCAAAAGATCAGATGGTTCTGTAGAAATGTGGTGTTATTTGCTGAGGACCTCTCCGTTCTGTTCCATTGGTGCTATATCTCTATTTTGGCTACCGTACACATGCGTCTTTGTTACTGTAGCCTCGTGGAGTATAGTTTGAGAGTCAAGGTAGCATGATCCATCCAGCTTTGTTCTTTTGGCTTAGGATTGTTCTTGGCAATGCGGGCTCATTTTTGGTTCCATATGGACTTTGAAGTAGCTTTTTCCAATTCCTGTGAAGAAGTCATTGGTAGCTTGTATGGGGATGGCATTGAATCTATAAGTACCTTGGGCCCTGCTGCATTTTCACAATATTGAGTCTTCCCTATCCATGAGAGCATGGATGTTCTTCATTCGTTTGTGTCCCTCCTTTTATTTTGTGGAGCAGTGGTGTTGTAACGTTCTCCTTGAAGAGGTCCTTTCACATCCCTTGTAAGTTGGATTCCTAGGTATTTTATTCTCCTTTGTCGCAATTGTGAGATGGAGTTCACTCGTGCATTTGACTCTCTGT